AGATAGTTTGTAGTTTCATCATGCAAAAGTTAGCTTCAAGACTCACAAGGAGTTCGTAGGCCGCTCTGTTACAGTTACAAAGATCAGCAATTATACCCTTCACCAAGGTCTAAGCTAAATCAACTGATATGACAAGATATGAAGTCTCAAGATCTCAGCACGTCGTTAAACAACTCATCAAACAGCACTTTAAGGCCATTGCACACTGAGTCCGAAATTCACATCTGAAATTTCCGCACGTTAAAAAATAAATACGACCTCACGTTATGTCAATCACGCTTGCACACTGCCTCCGAAACTTTCGTCCGTCATAAAAAAAATCGGATCGGGTTTGATTTTCTGCGTTTTTCGCATCTGTAGCAGGTGAATGGTGTTTGAATGGTGCTTTGACAATTCAGAGCCACCGAATTACGAATCCGAAAAAACGCATACGACAATTTCGGACTCAGTGTGCAATGGCTAGTCTTATTCTTATTAGCACTTATTAGCACGTCTACAGAAGTTCTTAAGAGAATTAACAGAGGTTCAGAATTTGATGATTTATTGTTTCGTTTAAGGTCACCATGATGGAGATCAGCGTTTGCTTTAGTTGGGTTCCTGACCCTTGACTTTTGAAGACAAGATTTTCTCTGTCTGCTGAAACTTGTGTGTTTATAAAGCACATTTGTTATGGCACGAAAGTCAAGAGAAAATGTGATCAGATGTTGATGGTTAAGTGTTGATGTCAGTCATCATGTAGTGACCTGATTCAATGATTTCTTTCAGTGTCTAATATCTGATTAAAAAGGATGACAAATTATAGTTTTATTCAAAACTGTAATTTTACAGCAAAGGGCCAGCAGTGTTATGACATCAGATACAATTAAGGATTTTACAAGCAGTGTTCACAAAAAGTTTTCATCTATGGCTTTACTAAAACTAACATAGACATCAAGAATCAGCATATTAATCTCAATAATGGTGACCATTAAATAACGATTCATGCTGCAATGCATGCTGGGTACTAGCATAATACAAAATGTATCCATGGCTCCCAGCATGCATTGCGGCATGAATCACTTTTTAATGGTCACCATTGTTGAGATTCATATGCTGATTATTGATGTCTGTGTTAGTCTTAATAATGCAATAGATGAAAGCTTTTTGTGCGAAAATTGTTCGTAAAATCCTTTCTTTTATCCAATTCTGAATTTAAATAAATAGGCAAACCTAATAATACATCACTTGTTTAATCAGAGATTAGACTCTGTAAAAGTTCAGTCATCATGTCACTTAATGAGGATTTTCATCATCAAAGCACAACCATTGACAACTGATCATATTTTCTTTTGACTTTTGTGCCATAACAAATGTGTTTTATATACACATGAGTTACAGCAGCCAAAGACAAACTAATTTGCAAGGGTCAAAAGTCCAACTAAAACAACTGCTAATCTCCAATATGGTGACCTTGAACGAAACTCAATAAATCATCACCTTCTAAACCTCTGTCACTTCTTCTTGTGTCACTCCATCTATGTCTGACTCTGGTTTGACAATAAAAGGCTAAATGTTTTTGAAATTTTCAGTGCATGTTTGTTTGAGGTAAAAGGACGGAACCTCTTGAGGCTCCGCCCCCTGTGCTGGGAGCAGCAGCTCATTTGCATTTCAAGTTTTTCTTTCCTTCAGTGATTTTGCCTGTTAACAGCAGGTGTTCATCACTAATGCTCAATCATTACTCAATTAGTCACTTAAATAATTGCTTAAAATAAAAATTAAATTAAGGTAATCGGTGTCCTCAAATGTAATGAGTTAGCTTAACTTAAAGGATTTGACTTTGTGTGTGATAGTGTGAGCTAGTAGTAACTACAAGCACTTAAAAGTTCATTTAAAGTTTGTAATTTCACTGTTTTTACTCAATATATAATATCAAATATCAAGATATTTGAATGCAGAAGTTTAATTGTGTATTGAGAAATATCCTTGTTTTAGTGGATTTGGTTAAAATAAGTTCAGAGTACTCATAACTATTGTTTTTTAAACTTAATTGAATTGAGGTAATCGGTCTCAACTGAAATGAGTTTGCATAACCTGTTGGGTTTTACAGTGCACCTCTCAGATTTTCAATACAGAGAATACATGAAATAACATTTTAGATAATCACACTGGTCATTTTAAAACAAAGTACAATCTCATAAGCCTAGAGAAGTCATTCAACTCCTTTGATATTTAGAAGGAAAATATTGATTAATACCTTGATTAAATTAGCTCATTAGATATACATTGAAGCAGCAATGGATTCCAGATTTAAATCATTACAATAAGATTGTTGCTTATTTATAACGTTAAAAATATGATTAAGCTAAAATCTTTACAGTTTTTAATCAATGAACGAAATGTGTTGTACCAGGAACAGCAGTTCTAATACCTACTTTTATCTAATACATTTATCAAAATTAATTGAGTAGAGTGATCACTAGGAACATACTATAACCTTTGGAACATGAAGAAACACTTAAGGTGAATTACAGTAATTTTTTCATAAAAAATATGTATGTACTGTACTTACAGTAAGGCAGGTATTGGCAATATTTAACCTTTAGTAAGTTAGTCTGATCACTAGGAACATTCTCCAACCTTTGAAACATGAAAATAATGCTTTAGGGGAATTACAGTAATTGTTTCACAAACATATTTGATTATTGTACATACAGTAAGGAAGATATTGTCAAAATTTCACCTGTAGTAAGTCACACTGGTCATTAGGAAAGTACTACAGCCTTTGGAACGTGGAAAAATAGTTACGGTCATTTACAGTTAATTTTTCATAAACATATTTTACAATAGCACGTACAGTATGTGAGTTATTGTCAAAGTTTCACCTGTAGTAAGTCACACTGGTCACTAGGAAAGTACTACAGCCTTTGGAACGCAGAAAAATAGTTACGGTCATTTACAGTTAATTTTTCATAAACATAATTGACAATAGTACGTACAGTAAGGGAGATATTGTCAAATTTTTACCTGGAGTAAGTCACACTGGTCATTAGAAAAGCACTACACCCTTTGGAACACTAAAAAATACTTACAGTGAATTACAGTAATTTTTTCATAAACCTATTTGATAATAGTATATACAGTTAGGGAGTTATTGTCAAAATTTCACCTGAAGTGAGTAACACTGGTCATTAGGAAAGCACTACAGCCTTTGGAACGGGGAAAAATACTTTAGGGGAATTACAGTAATTGTTTCATAAACATATTAGTTTATTGTACGTACAGTAAGGGAGTTATTGTCAAAATTTCACCTGTAGTAAGTCAGTCTGATCAGTAGGAAAGCACTACAGCCTTTGGAACGGGGAAAAATACTTTAGGGGAATTACAGTAATTGTTTCATAAACATATTAGTTTATTGTACGTACAGTAAGGGAGTTATTGTCAAAATTTCACCTGTAGTAAGTCAGTCTGATCAGTAGGAAAGCACTACAGCCCTTGGAACAGGAAAAAATACTTTAGGGGAATTACAGTAATTGTTTCATAAACATTTTAGTTTATTGTACGTACAGTAAGGGAGTTATTGTCCAAATTTCACCTGTAGTAAGTCAGTGTGGTCACTGGGAAAGCACTACAGCCTTTGGAACGGGGAAAAATACTTTAGGGGAATTACAGTAATTGTTTCATAAACATATTAGTTTATTGTACGTACAGTAAGGGAGTTATTGTCAAAATTTCACTTGTAGTAAGTCAGTGTGGTCACGGGGAAAGCACTACAGCCCTTGAAACGGGAAATAATACTTTAGGAGAATTACAGTAATTTTTTCTTGAACTTATTAGTTTATTGTACGTACAGTAAAGCAGTTATTGTCAAAATTTCACCTGTAGTAAGTCAGCGTGGTCACTAGGAAAGCACTACAGCCTTTGGAACAGGAAAAAATACTTTAGGGGAAATACAGTTAATTTTTCATAAACATATTTGACAATAGCACGTACAGTATGCGAGTTATTGTCAAAATTTGACCTGTAGTAACTTAAGTCAGTCAGGTCACTAGGAAAGCACTACACCCTTTGAAACACGAAAAGAATACTTTAGGCCAGGGGAATTAGACATTTTTTTAATAAACATTTGATAATTGTACGTACAGTATGGGAGTTATTGTGGAAATTTCAGCTGTAGTAAGTCAGTGTGGTCACTAGGAAAGCACTACAGCCTTTGAAACACGAAAAGAATACTTTAGGGGAAATACAGTCATTTTTTTAATACACATTTGATAATTGTACGTACAGTAAGGGAGATATTTTCAAAACTGTACTTTGTTTAATAGTTTTAATGTTCTTTTAAAGCAAATCATTCTTCTATACATCCATGAAGTAAAGAAGTTACTGTTTTCAGCCATTACAGTAATAAATAGATTTAGATAATGTAATATTTTTTGATGGAAGGTGTGCCATTGAAGAACCCCATAGGACTTTTGCTAGTTTTTTAAATGTTCACCTGTTAGGGGCGCACAGTCAAAGACCCAGAACCAGATATGAAGAAATGAAGAGCAGGAGTCAGAATTATAATAAAGAAAAGATTTACTGAAGATAGTTTTCAGTTTCATCAGCAGAAGTCAGCTTCAAGACTCTCACAGGAGTTCGTAGGCCGTTACAAAGATCACAGAATCACTAAATGAGCAAGCACTGTTACTGCTTTCAGATATCAAATACAGACATTAGAAAATACATGAAACAAACATTTCAGTAATCATACTGGTAACTTCTAGCCTATAACTAAGTAAAATCTCACATGCCTAGATAAGTCATTCCACTCATGTAATATTTAGAAAGAAAACCTTGATTATAATCACTCATTACATATACATTGAAGCAGCAGTTTATTACTAAATCCACACCCTTCACCCCCAAAATAAACATCATGTTTGCTGTCATGCTTTCTGGGTACTTGTCAATAATCTGATGGATTCAGTACCATGGACAGTGATATTTCTGCAGGACTTTAAACATCAATCAATGCACACGAATTGTGTTATTGTGAGAGTTTAATGTTAATTGAAGATGCTATACAACAGGAAACCATAAAATACTGTTAGGCCATTCTTTTTATTCAGCACCTGGAGAACACTGTTACACTGTAAAGTCTTTATTACACTTAAAAACAGAAAAACCGAGGTGGATAAAACAGCAAGACGTGGGCTGTAGTGTGTTCTGTAGGGTCCAGACAAGACCATCCAACTTGCTTTGGAACAGTCGGCCCATCCTTTCAAAACCTATTGAAATAAATCATATGTCATAATTAAAACCAACACCAACACTGTTCTTGTTCATTTTAATTTCAAATAAATAAATAAACATAAATATAAACAGATGTAAAATGAAGCGATTAACTATGTTCAGGAGATTACACATGATTTTCCACTTTCTACAGGCTGGATTGTTACCAGATTACAGTTCATGTTGCCTACATGTTCATTCTTTATTATTTCCTAAACACCTTTTTAAACACCATCATTATAAGGACATTCTATTGCATTAGAACACATAATGTGAGAGATATTTGCTGGTACATCTGTAGTTGGCTAAAATGTAGTTGTCTGTTTGCACACGATGAAAAACAATATAAACTTTTTAGATGGTCCCTATCTTGGTTACCACACGACATTGAATATTCAACAAAGTGTGTATGCATTAAAAATATACTTACCCATTTTGATCGATTGTAGAAAATGTTGTAGTTCACAGTCTTTGTTGTCAATATTAAGTAGCTGCTTCGAATCTGAAAAAAAATTGCTTCATTGACTATTTAATTGAAAAAGTTCTTTAACGCGAATGTGCGAATGTGCGAATATAAAACCAACTTTACCTAAGTAGGTATGGGAGAAGATGCAGCATAGCCAAAACCAAAAAAATATAGTTTGGCTTTCTCACCCCAAATGCCAAATGGATCTTGATCAGCAGCGGCAGCACGGTTAGTATTTTCACCCGCTTTAAATGGTGCATCGCATATGAACAGTACAGACATAAGCACCAAGATGCAACAGGTAACTAAAACTGCACTATGGTAGTTATCGTGCTCATGTTTGCAGTTTCTCTTTTGTTTGAGAAAGCATTTGTTATCATATAAAGCATTGTACCAAAACTTTAAAGTACCAATTGTACGTTGTTTGCGGACTGTATAAGCGGTAATATGTCCTGATTTGCGCTCGTGAGTGGAGCCTCCCGAACCACTCACATCAGCCGCCGCCATAATCAGTTAGGTGACACACAAAGTGTAGGCGTATCTATAATATTTAGTATTATGTAGCCTCTACAATGTAGTATCTATAAGGATCTATAATATTTAGTATCTTTAAAAACATTAAGGATCATCTGTCAGGTTTATGTTCTGTTTTGGCTTAGTTTTGTGCTCCCAGTTCCTGTATTTATTTACTGTCTTCCTTAGTTGACCTCGGCTTTGTTTGAAATCGCAACCCTATACCCTCATTCACTTTTCCCTACATTACTCCACTAATACAGTCCACTTGACGAGTGAATGAAAGTGAGCGAGTGTAATTGGACACTGAGTGCGCCAGAAAGGGGTGCCACTTTTGCATAGTTTGCACTTGCTTGATAATCATTTGAAACTTGGTAAACTGGCAGCTCCAGTAGTAATGAAAAGATTCACCTAGCATGTATAAACCTCAATTTAACAATTTAATAATCAATTAAAAAGGAATTTATACCTGTATGACATTACACTGTAGCCACTTTGGACCAGCAGTTTGGAAGATGGATGGATGATTCAGCTACGGCATCTTCTGTTCAGACACTGGAATTAATTTGATGTGACGCTCACAGTGCATTATGGGTATTCTCAGGCCGTGGAGCGTACATCTGTTGTGCACTCATTATTGCGGTGTATTGTGGGATTGAATGAGTGCACTCGATAACGTCCGCTATGGTTTCGGACACCACTAGAAATCTTGTCTATTAGTATGTCTTTGGTTAGTGGTTTCTCTCCTGCGTTTTATATTCTCCTGTTATCCTGAATGTTTGTTATTTTGATTATTTGTTAATTAAAGTTGCCTGCTGAATCTACTGCCTAAACTCTCCTTTCTGCAACCACACCGTGACAGGAGCATAGAATGGTAACGTTTATATAGTTGTTTTCAGATTTTTGTACAGTACTGTAGTTGTATTTGTTACTGTGACTCTCTTGCACAATAATATACAGCAGTGTCTTCATTCTTCATATTATTCATCTGCAGATACATCTGTTTCTTGCTGTTGTCTCTGGAGATGGTGAACCGTCCCTGAACAGACTGAGAGTAGTATATAGAACCACTGCCAGATGAGATGTATGCCAGCCACTCCAGACCTCCTCCTGCAGCCTGTCTGATCCAAGCCAAGTGCTGGTCACCACTAAATCCAGAGGCTGTACAGATAAGTCTGTGAGATCCTCCAGGTTTAATGACCGCTGACTCAGACTCAGTCAGTGTCTGACACCAACAGACTGAAACATGAACAGTTCAACATTAACATTTACAACAGCAAACATGAATATATGTCTAATTGTCAACATGGTTTCAAGAGTCTTTCTTACAATCTGTGAGAGCAAACATGAAGATAAAACACAGTTTAGACACAATATCCATTGCCATGTTATGAAAAGAGGAACTTGATGCAAGAAAGTCATAAACAAGTTTTGTGTCTGTAGATGAATAGAGTGGGGGCTTTTAAAAGGGAGAAGTGGAAGTAGGTTTGCATAGGCTGCCCTCTAAAGGTACATTTACATTTTCTGTATCCTTAATAACCTTTGTAACCAAGTCTGACTTTCAACATATTGTTTGTTTATTCTTATTTACACGTTCAGAGATAGTAGCTGATTATTAATTTTTTGGAGAAAAAAATGTATAGCTAAAGCTTATTTACTATTGATTCTGCACTGTTTAGTATGAAAACCTTTTCAAAAGATAATCATTCAAAAATTACACAGTGGAATGCTATAGAGCTCAACTACATTTTAAGTTCAGAATGATGTTATTCTAGCTAGAAATAAAAATTCTTAGAAATTAGAAAATAGTAGTAACAGGGAAAACGCTCAGAAATGTCGGTCTGGGCAAAACCAAGACCTGATATAGAGTGGAGAGAGACTGAATATATAGTCCAGATGATAAGCGGCAGGTGTTCAGGTAATCAGTGGCAGGCACAGGGTCATGGGAAATGGAGTTTAAGGGATGAAGTCAATATTCAGGAGAGGGAGCCCTCTGGGGCGAGTGGGAGGAACTTCCCTAGGTCCATATTGGTACATTCTTCTCTCAGTTCATCCCACTCATCTTCTGTAGGGTTTAGGTCGGGGGACTGGGATGGCCATGGCAGAAGCTTCATTTTGTAATCAGTAGCTATGTTTCAATCTGCCTTGTATCTGCCTTGTATTTTTTTGCGCTGGAACAAGGTTTGTTGTTCAGGAAAGGAGGAGGCAGGAACCAGCAAACATTTCAACACTTTAATAAATAAATAAACCAACGCAAACCGAAAGTAAAGCGGCAGCCCCCATACGGTCGACTGCCGCACACACATAAACAAAACATAATGTAAATGTCCCAGGCCTGGTCCTCTCTTGTCTTGCCCTGAATTGCTCCTCCCTTTTATTCATCCAAATCTCCTTCCGTGAAACTCCAGGCCCATTATAAGAATTCAAGCAGAGGCTTGAAATTTGTATCTGTTTGGTATTTGCTATGGATCTGAACAAGATGTTCAGGACCTCTGGCAGAAAAATAGGCCCACATTATTAAAGATCCCTGTTTTTTATCCCTGTTTGCACCAAACCCATCTGCCAAAAATATGTTTTTTTTATTTCATTTGAAGCCAGCGCTGTTTCTTCCAGTAGCGTCTAACAACCAAAAATGCTGGAGTTTGTTTTTAGATGAGAGCAGAGGATTTTTATTGAAACCCTCCCAAACAATATGTGGTGAGGTGCTGAATCTATCAGAACTATATTCTTTGGTTTTACTCATTGTGATGGATGATTATGGGAATTTGGCCTTTGTATTTCCACATATTTATACTCCTGTGGAACAAGAAGTCGTGGCAGGACAATTTCATGTTTCTAGTCTGCTGTGATAAAAACATTTTTTCAATATTAATGGGAATATACTTCAGAGATATTATACTCATAAGAATTTCTATGGCAATAATTGTGGCCAACATGTTTTGGAGAACAACATATATTTCATAATTGTATCCACCATCCTTGAGTCCTCAGAGATCACATGAATAGTTTTTGTTCAGCCCTGCAGACTTTTGTCTTACTGTGAATCTCTTGCACAGTAATAAACAGCTGTGTCTTCAGTCTTCAGGCTTTTCACCTCTAAATACAGCATGTTTTTGCTGGTGTCTTTTGTGATGGAGAACTGGCCCTGTAGAGACTGAGCATAATATGCACTTGAGCCAGTGTCTATATATCCAATCCACTCCAGTCCTCTCCCTGGTTTCTGACGGATCCAGGTCATGTAGTAGCTGCCCATTGAGAATCCAGAGACACCGCAGGACAGAGTCACTGATTCTCCTGGTCTTTTCACCACAGAATCTGAGGAGCTCAAAGACTGACCATTAACACCTGAAAAACAGAGGAAAAATCACGTTAGATGATTTAGAACAATGAAATAATAATCTACTACAAATGGGAGTTTCTCACATGCAATAATCATCAGTAGGAGTCCATATAGTAGCATCTCCATTACAACAGAAAAAGGCAGTAAAACAGTTATAAGTTACACTGAAGCTGTTTTAGTCACTGAACGCATGCACTGACTGAAAGTTCAGCTTATAACACAATCTTACAGGCGTCTGGGAGACGTTGACCCTTCCCACAAAATCATTTGCATCTTTGGAGGTTTGCAGACTTACACTGCAGTTTAATGCAGATTATCTGCAAATTATCACATAGACAAAGGAAAAAAATCTTGACCAACATTTGATAAGTGAGATGTTTCAGTGTTTCAGAAGTCAATGTTTCAGAGATGCAACCAGAGCACCAGAGCATCTATGGTGGAAAAATGCATATTTGGAAATTCACCAGCACTGCCCAGTGACGGGCCATTTTTTTAGATGTCTAATTTCTAAATTAATTTATAGTTTAGAATGAATATTTGTTTTGTAGTATATTGTTGTTGTTCCCTCTCCTTTCCGGAATAGTGTGTCATATTTGGGCATAAGTCAGTTTCAAGAACTGGTTGTGATTCCACATGTATCTGCCTTGTAAGCCGGATTTGGAGTTTATTAGGGTGTATTTAAAGACCCCCTTTGGTGAAAATCAAGTTTTCAATGTTGTTGTCTGTGTTTTTAAACAAATATGCTTTAAGACAAACCATGTGCAGATTCATGTCAACACCATTGCTGAGTATTTTCTCCTTATAGCTGCAGTGAACCAAAGACATTCTCAAAAACACGGTTTGAAATCACCGGTTTCTTACATCACAAACTACCTTGTAACCATTCATGTCAACGTGCGGGCGGGCTTTAGCATATCATTACTTGTGAAGCAGGGGAGTCTCATAAGAAGCCAGGTTATTCCAGCCCGTTCTCATCCTTTGGCGTCATACATGTGACGCTTGTACATTTCGTTGAAATCTTACGTACATGGCATCCTTTAGCATCAATATGAGACGCAGAACCCAAGGCGTTATACAGTTGACGCGCGTTTAAATCCAACGCACATGGCATCGTTTAGCGTGAATATGAGACGCAGATCCCAAGGCGTCATAACCATAACCCTACCCCAGACCTAAACCTACCCATAACAGTGTGTGTTATATTGACGCTAAAGGATGCCATGTGCGTAAGATTTCGACGAAATGTCATATGGCGTCACCTATATGACGCCAAAGGATGAGAATGCGTTGGTTATTCCGGTATATTTTTCTGTTGATATAAAAAATCGTGTACATATATATAAATATAGCAGGTGAGTTGTGTATATGATGTATATTACGATGTTATGATGAACTATATGATTTTCTCCAATGACGTTCTAAGTTGTTCAAGCGTTTGTAAGGATGCTGATTTTTAGAAGGCAGCTGTCTGACTCTGAGATGGTGAACGGGAACATGGTTTGTGTAATATTAGCAACACATTATTAGCTGTTTGATAACGTAGTCAAGCAAAAGACTAATCATATTAATTGCCGTTATGTGTTCGACGTTGTGGAGAGCGATACCTAAAATGCATTATCAGTTTCTGGTTCAAACGTATATGACTGAATTAAACCAGTACTTCCACTTGCCATTGTACAGCGTTTAAGTTGACTGAGTGGATCTCTGAGCTGGTGTGAATGATTTTGAGTTAATTTGCATGTTGCAAGTTGAATTTTTTTTTTTTAAAGTTATATCTTAATCTTTTTTTTTTTTTTTTAAATAAGCTCCATCCTGACAATACCCATGTAATAGTTGAATTAATGAAGTTATGTGGTAGAAAAAAACATCCAGTCCATTATTAATATAAGGGAATGTATGCTGAACAGAGATGCTTATACTTACATACGTCATTATGATTAAAAATAAGGAATCGTTTTAATATTAACATGTTTTTGTATTTAATACATTCAAAACACTTCAGACAGGCCTTATGTCACTTCAGAGGCTCTTCCCTTTTTTCAGGGTAACTCAACCATGTCCACCTCATTTCTCATGAGTTTTTGAACAGCTGCCTGTATTAGTGTTTCCACAGTGTCTGTTGCACAGTAATACACTGCAGTGTCTTCAGTCTTCAGCTGATTCATGTGCAGATAGAAATTAGAGCTGTCCTTAGTTGCAGTGAACCTGCCCTGGACTGACTGAGCTGAGCTCTTATCAGAATCTGAATAATAATAAATAATCCATTCCAGTCCTTTTCCAGGTGCCTGGCGGATCCAATACATGTAAGTGCCACTAAGAGTGAATCCACTACATGCACAGGTCAGTTTGTGGGAACCTCCTGGAGCCACAACTACTGACTGTTCAGACTGTGTGAGGTGAGCACAACCTGAGAGTCAATACCTGTGGATAAACAAAACATGTACAAATAATTAGGATCATGTATTTATTTACAATAAGAAAAGAGTTTATTTTCGTTGTCCAGGGAAAATATTTACCAGACACTGCGGCCAGCAACAGATACAAAGTGAACATGATTTATATCAAGGCTGAAGTAGTGATGAGTTCTCCAGTCAACAGTGCAGTTGTTTAAATATGTAACAGACATCAGATAATTTGCATAGAAACCCAGAATTAGCAAAAACAAGATCTTGTGGCCATTGGGGTTAATTTCATGAACAATAGTGCCACATCTTGATATCGATATAACAATGTCCTTCTGCAGCATGAATAAATGTGATTATTTTCAAAGTAGGCATGAGCATCCAACCTCATCTGAGGTCTATTAAAAACAGATGTGATGTTGTGTTATGTTTATGTGAAAGTGACTAAAGGACTGTAGCGAAGTTGTAGAGTTCAGTGCAGTTGAATACAAACAGATCAGCCCTTTTCTGCCATTGAGCCATTGTTCTCAAGTCTTGCATAGCACAAAATAGTGGATCAGACACCAATGAGATCAAAGGCGATATTGCGTGATTCACACTCATGTGCTTTGTTGTTAATAATACATTGGATATTATTTAAATTATGTTGCTTTTATATGAAAATAAATAAAACTAGACACCCAAAAGTACTGCCTTGACAGCAACAGATTGAAAAACAGTTCATCATTAACATTTAAAACAGTACACAGCCCTTCTTACATTCTGTGAGAGCAAACACACAGATAAAACACAGTTTAGACACAATATCCATTACCATTTTATGAAATAAGTAACCTGATGCAGGAAAGTCACAAATGAGTAGATGAATAGTCTGTTAATGAATACAGTGGGTGCTTAAAAGGGAGAAGGACAAGTTTGCATAGTCTGCCCTCTAAAGGCATGTTTCTATTTTCTGTGTCCTTAATAACCTCTGTAACCATGTCTTCCTTTCAACATATTTTATTCTTATTTACTAGTTCAGGGACATAGTGTTACATGTGTGTCCTGTGTTTCCCCCTGCTTAGTGTTTTTGGTTCAGTCCTGTTTCCCAGTTTTCCCGCTCCTCGTTAGTCTTCAGTTATAGCACCTGTGTCTTGTCATCCAACGTGATCTTACGAGAATACGTGTGTATTTTTAAGTAAAGTGTAGTTCTATCATACGTACATTTATTTACGTTGTATACACGCAGAAACGTATAATACTGACTTATTTACAGCACTAAAACTTAATTTATTTACGTATGAACAAATCTACCGACGTACAAATTTGTACGTAGCCTATTACTATTTATGCATATTAAAATCGTGGCATTAATGTTTTGAGTCTATTGCATTCAACTGTCTTATCAAATAAGTTTTCAGTCGCATTTATAATACTCATAAATATTAACATTTTGCTTGTTTCGCCTGCATTGTGTTAAACAAGAATACAATTTAAAACCTTAATAAAAATACCTTTACTCGTTTAACCATTTTGTAATACCGTGAGACACAAAAAGCGTTTTCTCCTCTAAAACACAACATAAATTCACAAAAGACATAAATTTTATTAGTTTGATGTTATCCAAATCTTTAGAATCCATACGTTGTTTGCAAGAAACATATCCAAATTCAGCTTTTTATCCAGTGATCTTCATCTCCATTTCTCAGCAGCGACCGTACACGTCAAATCCCGCGCTGGTGATGAATTCAAATTCAAAAATGGCGCCTTCAAGAAGCGTTACGTCATGTTTTACGGCAGTGATATCAAACGCTCATTGGCTCTTCCCTGCTTCGTCATAGATTGCGACATGCCGTGTTTCAGTCGGTGTACATTTGAAATGGAGAAGCGCGCGCGCCTTCACTGAGCGAACCGAAACATTTTCATGGATTATTAACTTAAATTCTACTCTGTACCTCATACAAAAATATTAGGCTTGTTTGAGATGAGCAAAATCTGCGCAGAACCGATCACCGGTGATCAGCGCGAGTTGCATGCCGGTTAGAAATGTGTCCGAGTGCGGTCCGCCTTGCTCTGATGTCATGCCGACGTATGTCAAAAAACTTACTCGGTTACCTAACGTAACCTCTGTTCTCTCTAGAAGAGGGAACGAGTATTGCGTAAGTAACTTACGCTACGGGTAAAGTTATCTTTTCTCGAGATCTGAAGCCCAAGAATTATCCTTAATTTTTCACACTTTGTCAACGTAGTGCAGCAGGCAGCAGACCATTGGCTGCTATTATAGACCAAGGGACCGTGCTATTGGCTGCCTCGCAGCAACTGCAGCAGCCTATCCATGAGCCTGGCGTGACGTCACGCCCAATGAGGACACTTCGCGCCCTCCGCACGTCACAGCCCGCCAAAAGGGGTGTGGTCTACGTGTATAATGGGAAGGCTCAGAGGCTGATTCTCTGGTTTTCTTCTATGAAGCGAGTGAGCTCGTGGCGTGAGCACGGCAGGTTACGCAATACTCGTTCCCTCTTCTAGAGAGAACAGAGGTTACGTTAGGTAACCGAGTAAGTTCTCTTACGAGAGGTTCTCTCGTATTGCGTAAGTAACTTATGCTACGGGAACTCTTTGTCAAC